ACAATTTGCACTAGAAAATGCTAAACCTTTTATGTTCATAAAATAGACCTTGTATCTTGAATTTTTACATATAACATTTTAATGGTAACTATAAATCTCAGTTAATGTTTTTAAGAGTATTCAAAAATATATTCTTGTTTTTGGTCAGTATATTATTTGTCTCCCCCATATTATCATTAATATCAATTCCATTCACCAATTCAGCAAATTCTGAGTGGGCAATCAGTACACTCTTTCCTGAATATATACTCAATACATTAATTTTAATGATAGGAGTTGGTGGTGTAGCTTTTATATTTGGTGTAATTCCAGCTTGGCTTACCACATTCTTTTCATTTCCTGGCAGTAGAATTTTTGAAATTGCCTTGTTTTTTCCAATATCGATACCAGGGTACATAGTAGCATTTGTGTACGTAAATACACTCGAGTTTTCAGGTCCAGTGCAAAGTTTATTAAGGGAATTTTTCCAATGGAGCAAAAATGATTATTGGTTTCCGGAAATAAAATCCCTTGGCGGCGGAATATTAGTCATGGGATTTAGTTTATATCCATATGTTTACATGCTAGTCCGTTCAAGTCTTAAGAATGTTAGTAACTCAGTCACTGTTGCATCAACACTTGGGTTTTCTCCATTACGTAGTTTGTTTTCTGTCGTTATACCATCTGTACGTCCATCTATTGTGGCTGGATTATCCTTAATAATGATGGAGGTCATCACAGATTTTGGCACACCACAATTCCTCTCGATTGATACTTTTACAATCGGAATATATCGCACTTGGTTTTTACTGCACGATAAATATTCAGCTACTATTTTAGCAATCGCAGAATTGTCCTTCATTATAGTGTTAATAGTCTTGGAAAAAGGTCTACAAAAAAAAGGTATATCCTACTCGTCTATAAATACCAATTCAGATTATCACAATAAGCGCAATATAAATGGTTCTATACCGTTAATTTGTACTTATATCGTGTGTACACTGCCAATACTGATAGGCTTTATTTTTCCAATGATTCCATTGATATATTGGAGCATAGAAAAGAGTGTGTTCCTCTATGATACAAGATTCTACAACATAATAGCAAATAGCGTCAGTTTATCATTTTTTACTGCATTACTCTCGATTAGTATTGCAATAATAATGGGATGTGCTGCACGTAAAAATAAAGTAATTAGCTATATAGCACGTCTCATCTCAATGGGCTATGCAATACCAAATGCAATTATTGCAATAAGTATCATTATATTCTTGAATAAAGTATCATCTACGGTTACTCAACATATTATAAAGATCAGTTTAGTAGGCACTATTGGTGCTTTAATCTATGCATACTTATTCCGTNCCATGGTCCTATTTCAACATGTATCAATGTTCATATTCCTTTAATCAAGAAAAGTATATTGTCAGGTTTTTTTCTTGTATTTATGGATACTATAAAAGAATTAACTGCAACTCTTATCATCAGACCATTCAATTTTGAAACTATTTCAACTAGGATATATGAACTTGTAAGCGACGAACGTTATAGAGAAGCCGCACCATTTTCGTTGATTATCGTCACAATAGGTTTAATTTCCACAATAATATTATTTAAACTTGATAATCAATTGCCACCTTCAAAGAAGAAATAACAAGAATATATTAAATTGAGTTTTTTATCATAGTTAATGTTAAGTTAACTAACTACCGTTAAGAATAAGCAATAATTATGAAGTAAATATGGCAATACGAATAAAATTCAAAAAGCTAAGTAGTACTAAAGTCGAATTAGAGTTTAGAAGAAACCTCTTTCGAAGCCGATTTATAGTGAGAAATCTTTAGGAGAAGTATATGCTAGTAACGCATAATACTTGGATGTATTTGAGGAGTATAGCTCATCCGCGACACAAAATTGCCATTGAAATTGAGTTTCAAAAGAGGTCTAAACACCACTAACATAACATCGAATAACCCTTGTTACTTTGTGATGTTAGGTTAGAGGAATATTAATAAATAACTGTATTTATGATAAAATCATAGAAATCCAACAGGGAGAGGGTATATATTTGTATATAAATCTTTTAAATTCGTTAATACTTATTTAACTTTATATACACTATCTAGCTGACTAGTTGCTTTTTAACGATATTTTTTAGTACTACTCAAATAATTCAAATGCAAGTGGTAGATAGTAAGGGTCACTTGATAGAAAACATTCTCTTGCTCTAATCCTAAACAAATAACAGTTCAACGGGATCGGGAACAAGTATCTATTAATTGTAAAATCAAGTCATGAATAGTCAGATGTGATGATAGGTGAGGATTTTAATAAAATTACTTTATTAAACGTAGTGTGGGTGCCTGGTTTTGCTATTCACGCAATTACTGGAGCTTTTAACAGTATCCATCCGCTATATCATAACTATGAGATAGTCTGTCATAAAATGGAACCCTAATTTGAATCAAGCATGAAGGCAAGTTTACTATAAACATAAAAAATTAGTTTTTAATATAAAAAACAGTTGTGATTCTAGAAAAAATTTGCTAGCCTAGCATAAATTATTTTTGTAGAGGTATTAATATGATAGTTCTATCAATGGTACTATTCATTTTATTTTTTTTATTAAACGCTACTACTAAGTTATCGATCTGTTCTCTTCTGTTTGTATTATCAGCGCTAGTTATAAACATAATAACAGACTTATACGGGAAAAGAAATGCTACTAATATTTTGCTTGCATGCATAGTTATCAATGTGGCTTTAATGTGGCAAAACCTTAGTTTCATGCTTGTAGCTTCTTTTGTCTCCCTGTTCATATCACTTCATTTTAGTATGTCTACACTTAAGGCACTTCAGCCAATATTTAACCGTCAATTTCAAGTAGAAAATTTTGCTGCTTTGTTTAACTGCTCACTCATTGATAGCAGTATTATAACTATGAGCTTAATAAAACAAACCTCTTTTAATAATGCTTTAATTGTAGGTTTAAAAGACTTTATTTTTAAGATATCTTATGCATCAGTAATATGTTTTGTTTTATTAATAATGTTTGGTTTGTTAACCAAGCGCAAATACTACTTGAGATCAAATAAGTTGATTCCTTTTTTTATCAAAAATTAACAATAGAATTTCAAGAAAACAAATAAAATAAGAAAGGTTTAGTGTTAAAATAATATCCTAAAAAGTTTTGCTATGTAATTTAATTCTCTCACATCATTCATTGCATAAAGTGATATGATCTTTTCTTCAGCACCTGATATTTTTATATGAATTTTACCCACTTCTTGACCTTTTTTGATTGGTGCGGGTATCATGTTTAAATGTTTAATATATACCTTAATTTTATTATGTAAATTACGGTTATATGTTATCACAACGTCGTTTTTAACTGTCATAGCTACCTTTCTATCCTTCCCATGCAAAACATCTGCTTCTTCAACAATGCTGTTCTGAATAAATATTTTCTTGGTAGTAAAATAATTCAAAGAATATTGTATCAATCTTCTTGCTTCTTCTATTCGTTCTTTCTCAGTGTCTAGCCCATTGATAACAATAAATATCCTTCTATCATCTCGTTTTGCTGATATAGCAATTCCGTAGCCACCATCATTTGTATTGCCGGTTTTTAAACCATCAACTTCAATATTGTAAGAAAGT